CTCTCGCTCGTCTTCCTCGCCCGTGTCAGCCTTTGCCGACAGGAGCGTGTCCAGAGCTTGCTTGCACTCCTGCAGCAGCGTGGCCACGGCATTTTGATTATTCATGAAGGCTGATCCCACTCGGCTGTGAATTGGGTGTCCCCGGGTGCACGGTGATCAATTACTTAAGAGAAGACACGGATTCTAAATGAAAAGGATCCCTTCAAGGCTGAGGTACCTGGCGAACAAAGGAGGGGGAAAATGATTAACTAAAGTATCATCAATTATCTGAAAGGCTCAAGCAGGGAGAAATAATAGGGGAAATACATGAAAATACATGACAGCCTCAGAGGACTTTATTAGAGGAGTGTGTGAAATTACTGCAGGGTCTCGGTGACAAACTGTGCGAGGCAAACATCTCCGAGGTGCCAGGGAGAAAGGACAGGCTCTTCAATGGAGCTGTGAAACGCCAAGCAGGGAAGTGACTAGCCAGGCTGTGCCGAAGCCCTTTGCACCTGGGAGGCTCAGGCTGTCGCACACTGTTAGCCGGGACTGAATGGCAGAGCCCTGCGTGCTCTGAACTGCTGGAGGATGCTGCCCGCGTTTGCCAGACCACAGGGGCCGTCTCTTTTACCCTGGGGCAGGGGAGCACATTGCGCTCTCCCCTCCTCTCACGCCAGCCCTGCTCCTGCCACACAATACGGTGTCCTACCACGGTTTGGTGGAGGCAGCGGAGCAAAAACAAACTTTGAAGGAGCCCGCCGGAATGAAAAGTCTATTTGTGGACGCTGCAGCATGCAGCAGGAGCTGACCTAGCGTAAAGCCACGGGCCCGCAGGACAAGCGCTGGAGTCAATCATAGCTTCACCAGATAGAACGGACAGGGGCTTCTGACCATCTTACCAAACACACACAAGGCTCGTTTTCGTCACAGCTGGGTCTCCTACAATCAGACCAGCTCTCAGGAGCCTTTCCAAACCTGGTAACCCCTCCTTCCCACCTCCCGTACCAATGTCATCCCTCTGCCTCCCCAGGCCGCCCACCTCGTGCCCCCACCCTCAGGGAGCACTCCTGGCACCTGGGTGCTGCTGAGCATCCTCGGGGCACCCACGAGCACCCACGGCTCAGGGCTGAGGAGATCAGCTGGCAGCCAGGCACAGGCTCTGGAATCACCGTAGAGCAACTCGCATGTGATGTGCACGGTACCAACACCAAATCCTTTCCAGTTACTACACTGATTTTGGGGGAAGTCCCTAGTAGCAGAGGTCTGCCAGCACCTGCTCGGGCTACTTCTATACAAGGCCAGCTCTCTGTACATTCACCCGGCGGCTGTCTGGCCTGCCGTAACTTTTCTACTGCAAGTCCTTCAGGTGCTTAGGACATTGCCAATGGCGATGCAGAAAATCCCCCACAATTTCCATCCCAGGTATCTGGCTCAGCATCTGCCAAAACAGTCGAGCAGCTTTCAAAAGCAAAGCAGAAAAGAAATACTTGGGTTTTTTTTTTTCCACCAATTTGGTGATGGTCTCACTTAGAAAACTACTCCCACAGTTTGAAGCGATGCAGTCAGAAACAGCCTCTGTGAAAACCTCTCTAAAACAGGGGAAACAGTAAGGCTACGAAGGAGGAAGGGGAGTGCAAAGGAACACACATACAAGCACAGTTTGCTCTGCTGACTAGAAATTACTTACATTTTTGCAGCTAAATTTCCAGACCTTTTTTTTTTTCCTTTCTGCTGCAGCTCTAGGATCACTAGATCCCGGAGCTGGTGGCAGATAGCCTGTGTTCTCAATGGCACCAAGTAAGAGCAAGCTGCCAGATTGAAAAGCAGAGGGCAAAAGAGATGCACTCATGCGAAAGCAGAGAGGATCAGAGAGCCTGCCATGGAAGGGCAGGTGGAGCAGGGCAAAAGATGGGATTCATCAGCAAAGAGCCTGGAGGCAGGAGCTAGTCAGTGGGGCTGTAACTGACTCTGCAGACAAATGTCAGAGAAAGAAGAAATTTAAAAAGTAGCCGTAAAAGGGAGACTGAGAGTAGGAGTACAGGCATGTAAGAGCAACTGGAGAGCAGGGTGGCCAAGCAAAAGATCACCTAGGTGCAGACCCATAGATAAAAACTTAGGCAAGACTAACACTGTTAAACACTCAACATTTCTTAGCATCTGAGGCTTGGCTTCGCGATTGCAGTGGTGTTTTGCTGGTCTCAATTCTTTCTGTGCAATCCATACCGTGGAGCACTTCAGCAGGGCTTCCACTCCAGCTGCACTCTGGAGCATGGCACGAGAAGGTTCTGGCACCGTATCAAACTAGCTGCAAAAGCAGACTGTAGTCTTCACGTTCTGGAGGGTATAAACCATCCTCTAGTAAGAATGAGAATCACAGAATAGAATAATAGAATATTTCAAGCTGGAAGAGACCCCTAAGGATCACTGAGTCAAACTCCCTATGTAGTGAGTCTCAAGAGTACAGCGTCAGATCGAGATACAGAGGAGCTAGCTTCAGTTCTTAGCTCTGCTGTTGATGTCCTGGTGATGTCAAGTCACATACGCTGTGCCTCGCTTCTCCTTGTCACTTACACGAGAGAGGAACAGAGATGCCAGCTGAGATGGGGCCTGTTTGCTGGGCCTCTCAATGGACAGCTAGAAACCTCGGGTGGTGTGAGGTCAAGTTTGTCAGGGTCTGCGAGATGTCTACCGTATGAACAAATAAAAAGCCCATGTAGTGGAAAAGTGCCCTGAGGAACGGCACAGGTTTCATTGCTGTGGTTGCGACTCTCAGCCAATCCACGCTGTGCTCAGAAAGCTGTTAAAAAATTAACCCACCAGGAAAAACAATCAAGTAAAATATACAGTACAGGTCAGAGTTCTTATAATGAGAGCAGGTTAAAGTCTGCACTCAGATTCACTTCCCATCCCTCCAACAAAAGAGAGGTGGCATTTCTGCCATTTTCTGTCCCCTTCATAGCTCTGCCCAAGTTGGTATTTCTACCTTCCTTTCCTTCAATCACTTTTGTACTATAAATGCCTTCCTGGGAGAGGATTTAGAGGTGTTTTCAGAAAACAGGTGCACATCCAGGTGTCAACACAGTCCAACAATACAATTCCTAAGCACAGAAAAGTTAAAAGACAGCCCACAAATGCAGAATTTATAGCTGAAGGCCTCTCCTAGCGCTTCTCTCTCCATCCTGGTATAGGACATTAAGAAACAAAGGAGAAGGAAAACCCAGAAAGGGTTCTCTATCTTTTTAAGCTCCAAGTAAGAGCGAGCAGGGCCACCCCACGCAGGGCACTGTCCCGCAGGGTTTGAGCCAGGGGAGCACAGCTGGGTGCTGGTAATGGGGTGCTGGGATCGCCCCCCACATGGCAAAGGGATGGACCAGGCACAGGGCCCATTTAGGGGCTCCTGTCAGGAGCAAAAGGAGACAGGGCCAGAGACAGGGCTGGAGACACATCTACAGCGTGGTCCAAAGTCCACCCAGGAGATGAGGCTGAATCATCTGTCCCTGGGTAAGATCATTCTAAAAAAAAATCCACCACACTGATGGGATTTGCTCCCAGCACAAGGTCCCAGTCCACATGCTAGTTCCCAAAAGTCCCCTCTCCCTAAGCACCTCCAGGCTGGCAAGGACAGACATCTGAACCTGGTGACAACATCCAGAGAGCAGACTCTTGGGAAAAGCAAAGTCCTCTCCTCCTACCCTGCTAGGTCTAGAAAAGCTGATCCAGTTGCTGGTTATCCATCAGGGAAAAGAAAAGGAGCCCCCTCTGCTATAATCACAGCAACACACCTATGCTAGTGTTGCTTGCTCTGTTAACTGCACTGACATCTGCTAATTGATTTATCTGATTACCCAGCCCTGTGGGAACGAGTGTGCGGCCGTCCCACGAGTGCCTCCCAGGTTGGGATGAAGCATCCCTGCCATCTGGCCCTGACTCCACTCCTTTGTGTAATTGATTTCTCAAAAATCTCGTTTTCCAGGGAGTCCTCTCTAGCAACCGCCGAGCACATATACACATATCTCAGATCTACTGTGAACATTAGTCCGACCGAGCAGAGAAGACAGCTTCAGGAGCATGCAGAAGCATGTTGGAGAAAGCCTGTGCCCGACTGCCATCTCGCAACCCTGGTAAATATATGTTCATAAACACAATTTTCTATGAAGATGCACTAAAGCAAACAAGTGCTGGGATAATCGCCTTTACAAGAAATAACATGGCGCTAAGAGCATCCAAGGGAGCTTACAGACATGCTCCAACTTATCTATGTTGCAGTCCAGAGCCCAAAACTAGCCTTTTAAAGCCAGCTCGTGAAAAGGCTGGAGGGCTGCAGTGCTGCAGCCTGGAAGACCACATTGGGTCTTTACTGTAAGCAGGAGGGCCCCGTGGCTTTGTGAGCCACACAGACTGCCAGTCTCACAAAGAACTGATGGGGCTTAGCGGGGAAGCTTAAATTAGTGTAGAAGTACAGCACTTGGCTTCCTAGGACTGTAAAGATTTAACTCACCGGGAAACTGCCAGATCTACAACAGTGATATATGAATGTCAGCAAGCGAGAAATTTTTCTTCAAGTACATTTTTCCAAAGAACTGAATAAACAGCAAGGACACTTAGAGTAATAAATAATGATTTACAACAGCAACGACAACAAAGTGCTGGAACCATACAGAAAAGTGCAATAATGTACATTAGTACTCAGAAGGAAGACAGCCTTTTGAGACCCATCACTAGGGGCAATGACTCGCATCATAAAATCAGCTTAAAATGCACCGAGGAGCTTTAAAGTACAGCAGCATCCTTTACACAGATGCCACTTTGTAAGTTGTGTTTTGTGACAGCTGTAGCATTGAATGACAGCTGGGACGTGAAAATAACCAAGCACGCAGCTTACGGACCTGGGGCAAACCTGAGACTAAAGCCGAACAGTAGAACCAGTGAAAACTTCTAGAGGCCTTTAGAATCCTCTCAATGCTTACTAATTAGCTTTCTTAAAGTACCGTTAAATCCCAACAAACAGTACTTTAAGGAGACTACAGTTTTGAAGTGGTAAAAATTGCAGTTTGATATGCTGCAAAACTGCTTAGACAAAAATGTCTTTCAAGGATGCACTAACAAATGCTGTAGCTACCATT